TTTTCAAACCCACAAGCACAAAGAAAACATTTTGAAAATGATGAGCAAGTACCTAAGAGCCCGTAGATAACTACGGATAGAAAGGGTGCTAATACCTTCCCTTTCTATAATCTACCCCCCGTACTCAGAAATATCTCGAAAAAGGAATTTTTCTGTGCTTTTTTCCTTTCCTTGTTGGATAAAATAAAAGATGGTGGAGACTCTTGCTTACCGCGGCATTTTGCGAAAACAAACGCAAAACGCAAACCAGCATTCAAAAAACAGTCAGTTCTTCCCACCGTATCACACCTGAGAAGAAAAATTGTTTTGGTTTGGGCTACGAATCATCAAAGGCTACTCTGAAAGGAAAGGGGCAATTTCCTCCCATATAGGAAACCTTTATCAATAAAGGAATAAAGCACGGTGGATAAGTGGCGGTGATATGTAACAAAAGTAGCAGTAAAAGAGTGTCTGCCTTATCCGTGAGTGTGCTCCAGGCAAAGAACTCAAGATTTGGACAACCGTGGATGTTCTTAAGATATTTTTCTTTTCAAAGTAATTTTTATTGTTTTTAAAAGAACCAATGTCAAGCCCAGGGCATAGGGGTAGCTTGTATGGGTCCCTCAATTTGTTTCGAACAATATTTTCAATTAATAAGAGTTATGTTTTGCATTAAATTAAGGTCCATGTCTTTCTCTTGCATTAATCTCTTATGTTTTAAAATGGAAATACTTTTATTCATATGTATTTTCCAAATTCACATACTGCACCAAAACATGATAAATGTGAAGATCCCTGCCTAAAACCACCGATAATGTTATTACTGCTATCCGATATGATTTTGACGCACCAATCAACCAAGCAGAAGAGGAATATGATGAAGATCTTGAACTCTCTGAATAATTGGAAAGGGAATTAGAGCAAAAAGTTGACAATATACAACCATACCAAGAATCTATTGAGACCATCAACCTTGGCACAAAGGAGGATCTAAAAGAGATCGAGCTAGAGGAAACATTAAAGGAAAGCGCCAAAGAAAGATTTATCAAGATGTTACATGAATATGTGGATATATTTTCCTGGTCTTATAGAGATAAGCCAGGATTAAATACAGATATTATGGTGCATAGACTACCTCTCAAGGAAAGTTGTTCACCAGTTAGATAAAAGCTCAAAAGAACTCATCCATACATGTCTAGAAAGATTCGAGAACAAGTCCTTAAAAATTTGATGCAGATTTCTTAGACGTGGTAGATTATCCATCTTAGATAGCTAACATCGTACCAATTCCCAAGAAGGACCGTAAAGTACACATGTGTGCAGATTATCGGGATCTGAATAAAGCAAGTCCCAAACACGATTTCTTGCTACCTCACATAGATGTTTTGGTGGATAATATAGCTCAAGCTTAGATATTGTCATTCATGGATGGATTCTCAATATACAATCATATCAAAATGGCACTCGAGGATATGGAAAAGACTACTTTCATGACTCCTTGGGGAACCTTCTGTTATAAAGTGATGCCCTTCGGTCTAAAGAACACACGGGCAACCTATCAACGAGCAATGGTTACACTTTTTCATGACATGATCCATAAAGAAGTTGAGGTATACGTGGATCATATGATTTCTAAATCCCATACAGAGAAGGATCACACTATACACTTGTAGAAATTATTCGAACGCTTACGAAATTTCAAACTGAGACTGAACCCGAACAAATGTACAGTTGGTGTCAGGTCAAGCAAATTATTGGGTATTCATTGATCAGCTCAACCAAATTAAAGAAAAATTCTTAACTGCTCTGTGCCACGGTCAATTATACCAAAGGCAAATGAAGATAGCATTTGACAAGAAGGTTCATCCTCGAGTGTTCAAAGAAGGATATTTGGTGCTCAAGAAGATTCTACTATCTCACCTTGATTCACGTGATAAATAGACACCCAAATACGAAGGTCCGTATATGGTAAAAACAACATTCTCGCGTGGTGGTCTCATCCTTACAACAATGGACGGGGAAGAACTACCATATTTGACAAACTCTGACACAATAAAAAAATACCATGTATAAAAATCCCGCTAAGTTTGAACCCTAAACGGGTGACCTAGGTAAAAAGGGGCGTCCCGGTAGATTGAAAACTCGAAAGGACAGTCTAGGAAAAAGTTAGGGACATAAACAAAAAAAATTATCCCAGTGGATTGAAAACCCGAAAGGGTGGCCCAGGCAAAAGTTAGGGATCTTATTCAAAATAAAGAACAAATAGACTGTAATCTAAGAACCACGACTACAACCACGAAGGAAAGGGATTAATCCAAATCACATGACTCGGAATTAAAGGAGATTAGAGTTATCAAAAGGACATTGGAGAAACAACAGTAGCGATTATCATTTTCATTGCCATTTTCAGTTTTTGTCAAAACTTTGTGATTACCTCTTTCTAGGAATTGCATCTTGTACTCTCGCCTATTCAAAGGCATGTTTATCAATAAAACATTTACTTTTTCAATCTTTTCAATTTGTGTTTTTTCTTTTCTTTTCGGACTTGTTTACAAAATACTATGATTATTTCTTGTGAATACTGCGTTGAAATCATTTTGGCGATTTGACAAACAAATAGAAGCATCTGATAAAACATCAAATAGCATTTTGGTTAGAAAAAAACATTAAAAGAAAATCCGGGCCTACGTCCATGGCTATGTCCATGCCCGCATCCACGTCTACGTCCATGCCTATGTCTGCACCTGCGATACAATTATCAAAATCTCGCGGACACTATTCATCTTTCTCAAATCAACTCAAAGATACCATGACAATGCAACATACAATGTCGGGGAGTCAGTAACACAAAACCAATGGTTTAAAAGGAGAGAATATCAAAAACATTTACAAAACAAACATTTGGTGCATATACAAACATTTGGCGCATATACAAACATTTGGTACATATACAAAATACTCAGTGCATATACATTTTGGGTTCCATATCAATCTAGGGAATTATGCATATAAATCATGCATGGAATTTTTCAAATTCATTTTGGTTAAACTACAAACTTTTCTTGGGGCCCATTGTTAAATTATCTTGTCGGCAAAACAAACCAGTACATTGGTTAAGAAAAGATGCAACCAGTAAACTCCGATCTTATCTTTGGTTTAGTTACCTAATATTCGATTACCAAAGCACTTTTCAAAAACCTAACTCGTATTATCTATTCTCTAGGTTGTGGTAGGTGTTGCACCCCAAAATTTACCCTCATAATTTCTTTTATTTGGCTTAGGCTTTTGCATTCATCTGCATATATTTCGTTAGGTCACTAACATAGCATACATTTTGCATTCCAATAGAGCACATGGAGTTCAATGTTCAATGGTTGTGTGATACCAAGGTTTCATAGTGAATGAGGTGTATATACCCAATAAAGCTGATTACCTCTGACTCTTCTGGTTTTTTGTAAGCAATGAAGTATGGAATTAGGGTTGTTTCGTATGGTTACCTTGAATTTCTTTCTCCTCAAGAGATAAGGCCATTGGTGTTTACTTTCCTATGTGCGGTCAAAGTCAGGGTTTTCAGCTACTGTGTTAGGTTGAGGTTTATTCTCCAAGGATAATGGTTTAGGGTTGCATCTTATGGCTATCTTGAGCCTATTTCCTTCATAATTAAAGACCTCCATCCATTACTTGTGTTACAAGTTCTGTCATCATTTCTTGGACTTTCTTACAAAGGCTTGACTTTCACTGGAAGCTTCCTTTTTATATGATGAGCATTTGGTTTAATTCACTAAGGATTGAATTTTATTTGGAATCGTCGTTTGGGTTGGTGGTCATTCAAGTTTTATAAAGGTGTTAGTTGAATAAAGTTGTTTGAAGCTTGTAAGAAAGTAGGTGGAAGATGGATTATTTGTATTTTCTTGAAGTACAAGTTAAACATGGATTTGATAATTAAGGAGTGGATCCATTGTTGTTTACTTGGTACATCAAAATTAATTTGTTCAAGAACATATGAATTTATGATGTCAAGAAGTTGATTTAAGCAAGGAACTATGGCAAAAAAGTTTGAATTGCAAAAGATGCAAGTTTATAAGTTTACTAGTTTGCTAGTTTACAAGTTCGCAGTTGTTTGCAATGAGATCATACATTCAACATATAATTTTGTAACTAATATTCATCCATAAAATTCAAACAACTTTACATCATCATTTACAAGTCCATTCAAATTCTTTGCCGTTCTTTCAAACAAAATTACAAAGTTACATAAAAGTCCTAAACATGTTCTTAAGCCTAATCCTATGATTTCTAGGAGAGCTTCACATTGCTTTCCTTTTGAATCTCCCTCCAAACTTCAAGTTGTAATATCCTTCCAAGCTTCATGCTAAACCACAAATACCTCCTATTCATTCTCCGTGCACTCACCATTTTTGCCATCTCATGGAACAAGAAGGAAAAAGAAGGTGGTTAGCAAACAAAACTTGAGTATAAACAAGATATTTTCAAATAAATTCTCAAATTTCATCATTAGGGTTTGCTTGAAGGAGTTAGTTTATGGTTTAAGTAATTCTCTTTCAAATCATGTTCACAAATCCAACACTAAAGCCTAATATCCTTCTTAACAAAAACTAGATTCAAGTTTATTCATGGGCCTAATTCCATACTACTGCAAATCTTAAAAAAGTTCAAAGAGAAAGTTTGGTTCACAATAAGACAAACTAAATAAGAGACAAATTATTGCACACAAACTCGGTCTAAACCCATCAAACATCACAGTTGCAGAACAGTAACAAATATGCCAACACAAACTTTGCATCTCAGCAAAGTCAAGTTACTATAGTAACAAATTTTCACAGAACTTTTTATTTGGTTGCTTGGAAGATCCCCAAATACTAGTTCAAAACACAATATTTCTGATCTTGTAGAATAATGCTTGACTCCTGATGTAATTAGGTCCGTCTTTGAGACACTTCATTCACATAATGAGTTGTTATCTAACCATCCAAATTCTCGCATATAATACTTTGAGTGGCTTAGTAGAATTTGACAAATACTATCTTGATCGTGAACCTTGTGTTGCCTGCAGCTCTCCAGAAGCACCTTGCAGCAGGATGAAGCTTGTGTCCCTGAAATCAGAAACAAAATTTACTGATAATCGCATCATAGTGGAATGCACTGGAATTTACACAATCCAGACTGTGGCCATGAATGTTCATGATACCAGAAGAGAAGACCAGAAAAAGAATTAAGAAGAAATAAAGCCAGACCACCTCAATTTCTCATCCTAATCATTGTTTATCTAACAAAAGTCTCAGATCTAATGGTCCAGTATTAACTCACTCCTAACTAACTCTAAAAGAATTCTAACACCTAACCTATTTTCATTCATCTAACAGTTTCCTAACAAACTCTAACAACAATAACAAAAATATATAAACAGAATTACTCACATGCTTTAATTCACTCTCCAATTCCGCAGAAGGATCAGAGAACCTGCTCTCTGATTCCTCCATAAATGTCTCCCTTTCTTCTTCATCTTCATCATCATCCTCCACCATAACAACTTCATCTTCATATTCATTCCTTCTATATTCTGCAGAAGATTCACCAAAGAACTCAGAAACTGCATCTTCCATTTCTACACTTTCCCTCTGAATCTTCATCGCCAACACTTCAATCCTTAATCTTCTCTGCAATCTTCTCCTCAAGACACACATGTTCTTCAACATGTTCCATCGATCTACTATGCATCACTAAAATTTGACAATCCACAACAGCTTCTTCTTCACGCATCAACGCAACCGCAACATCATCTTCAACAGAGACGCAAAACCACCAACCTCTTAATAATCCGTGTAAACCACATAAATTTGCAAACAATAACAAGTTTAGAAAGGCAACAAACGAAGCAAAAACAAGAAGAAGAAGATTGGAAGCAGAAGTATAAACGCAGAAAAGAGCATAAACTTTGTACTTGACAAATGAGAATTCTCTGGATTTCTTGCGACCTCGACACCGTTGAAAGTGCACCAGACCTATTACCTGTAGGTAAATTGTAATTTCCTCTAATATTTAATTAATTTCCTCTTTTCTGCATCATCTACATGAATTAAAGCATAGATACCCAATCGCGAGTTTGATGGAGTTTGTAATTCATGTGGTGTAGCGGTAGAAATGTTGTGACTAAGCCATTGGATTGACTTGACTCGCACAGATCAAATTAAAAATTTCCACCGAGCTTTATTGTTTCCAAAGGAATGAGAAAAGAGCAAATAATCCAAAAAGAGGGGGAGAGAATCTAATTTCGGGGGTTGGTTATGCAAAGGAAAGGTATTAGCACCCTAAACATCTACGGTACTCTGCATGAACCTCTTTGAAAATCTATGTATTTTGGCTATAAATGTTGTATAAAAATAGATTGTGGAGATGAGAAAAGAAGTATTTTTTTAATGATTTTTGCACCCTCCGCAGTTGTGAGCCTTTAGTGACTACGTACCACCTTCCGTGGAATATGGGATCAGGGTACTCGTAGTTCACCTTTTAAAAAATTTAAAACACAAGTGTGTTGGTTAATTTTAAGACGAGACATTATTGTCTTATCCGAGTGGAAAACATACTTACTACCCACGATTATGAGAAAGGATAATTTGCATCATCTCAAAGTGGAGGATATAACTTGGATTTTAAAATCAACAAAGCCTCACTCAACACCCAAGAGGAAAATATCTCACTTCACCATATATCATAAAAGTATAATAGATTGCATCAATACAAGGATTGACAAGGGTCTAATCTTTTGAGAAAAAGTTTTAAGGTAAAAAGCCAAAGTGGCAAAATGGTTTGAATGAGATTGATTGACTTTTAGTTTTCTCGCAAAAATCTCAAAGTATTATTAAATTGGTTAAAATTTGATTAAGAAAATATCTTGAAAAGACATGGACCTAAGTCCAAGTTTATTGTGTAAGACGTTCAAGTTTAAAAAACAAGAAGGGTTTTCAAAAAGGGGGGAGAAGATTTTTTGAAATTAAAGAAGATGGGAAGAGATGAAAGGACTATCCTAAAGCATAAGGTAAAACCTAAGAAAAAGAACCGTCTAACCAACAAGAAGCCAACACTTGACAAAATGAGTAAATGTAGAGTTCCCATCCTTTGGACTTGAAACCAAACAAGCAAAGATAATAAACCTCTTAAGAAAACCAAGCTTCAATTGCATTAAGTCTTCATAAAAATTGGGCAGAGTAACGACTGTATACATATGAATTCTCGATCACAGACAAAGCATGTAATCACAAAGACCTGCACACCAAACAAATAAACAACCCAATATCTTGGGGTAAACCCCAAGAGCTCCAGAAAAAATAACAGTGAGGTAACAAGGTCTCAAGGTAGGCCAGAACTTCTAATCCTAAGTCCAAGAAGTCCATAATACATGATGCCAAGGGTAGTAACCAAATAGTCCAAGTAACATTAAAGCTTTTATTGTTCAAGTAGATTATTAGGTATCTTCAAAAAGAAATGAAAAGCTCAAGTGAGCAAAAATAAAAATGATATAAAAGTAAATGCTCAAGTGAGCAAAAATGAAAATAACATGAAATATAAATGCTAAAATAAATGTGCTTAAAGTAAAAGCATAAAGTAAAATCATAAAGTAAAAGCACAAAATAAAGTCAATTATTTAGAAATTAGAGGTTAGTTGAATGACCATCTTGAAACTTGCATTTGAAACTCATTAGAGGATTGATAAAAACCAAAGCCTCTCAACAACAAGTTTCATTTGCTTTTTGTCAAGTATATCATTCATTAAGAATTCTCAAGGCAACCAAAAACGATCAACGATGTTTAAGTGATTCACTTTGACCAAGGATTATGAAGATTCATTAGAGGATTGATAAGACCAAAGCCTCCTAACAATGAATCTCAAGGTTATTGGATCAAGGATTCAAATTAACATACCTGGGCTTACAAATATGAGTTTGGGCCACGAATAATCATTTCTTGAATCGGGACAAAATTTAGCGTTATGTTAAGCAATCGAAGTGGAATTATATAGAAGTCACACCTACTTTGAGGTTGGTCAATAGAAATTTATGTGTCATGTGTTTGGAGAGATGATATGTATATCATCCTCTAACAACATCTGACACAATAAGAAGAGAATGAGATGAAGAGAGGAGGGATAATATTTGAAATAAAAAATTCAGTCAAACTATCATTAAAATCATTCATCCATTTTAGTGGAGTTAAACTCAACACCCAAGATCCAATGATGTTAATGAACTCCATGATCAAAAGTCAAAATAGTCAGAATATGTACAAACATAAAATAATATTTTAAATAAAAGAAAAAGTTGTTTTAAAAAGTTTTTTTAATATGGAAATAAGGGAAAAATAGCAACTATATTCAAAACACTCAAGAAAAATTAAGTGAGACCGTAGAAAAATCAGAAATGAACTGAAATATTTTGATGTTTTTTTTGGTAATTTTTTAAAGTCAGAAACTATTTTTAAACTAATTTAAATTGCTCAAATAAGTGAAAAAAAAATCAAAAATATTAAAATTCGAAATAAAATTCTAAAAAAATTCAGAAAGTCAAACAATGAAAATGATTTTTATAAAAAGTTTCAGAATTTAAAAATGTCAGAAAGTATTTTTTAAACAATTAAAATAAAGCAAACAAAGAAAAAATTATAAAAAAATATCAAATCTTAAAATAAAAATATGAAAAAATATTCACAAAGTAAGAAATAATTCAAAGTATTTTTGTATATTTTTTTTATAATTTTTGGATAAAAATTAAAATAGTTATGAATTTTTGAAATTTAAACAAATTTTAATTTTTTTTATAAAAATAAATAAATCAGAAATAATACGAGGCATTGGATCGAATTCATAAAACATGCTGGCACATCAAGTGGCTCAGAAACGAAGACGTATGGTGATCCCTAGTCAATAAACGTGCACTAAAGTCACGAAAGTCAGGCCAATCACAATATTTCAATTGTCACACTTTCATTGGTTGAAGAGGCCACATAGGTGATCTTCAACCTCCAGCTACCCTGCAACTAGGGCGAAATTATAATCCTTAAATCTGTAAATTTAAACGCTCATAGTGGTATCATTAGACGCGTCTCTTCAAGACGATCACAACCATATCCCCGCGCCAAATTTACATAAAACACAACTTACTCGATTTGAAAAAGATTAGAGATATTTGAAAAATTCAAAATAAAAAATAGAAGCATCAAACACATTGATTCACCAAAATTGAGTTAATAGCAAGCATCAATGAACATCATAGACCATTCCAGTAATTTGAGTTAGAAGATTTGATGCCTTAAACTACCTGAACGAAGTCAGATGAAGTTGCTCTGTAAATGGACTTGGCTAACACGATTCCGAGAACCTCAAGGCTTGATTATTCTTCTGGTAGCTTCAGGGAAGTTCAATGAAGAAATTGAATTGAGAAGTGGAGAAAATAGGAATTCAAAATGTCAGAAAAGGGTGTTATGGAGGGAGTTTGGCAGAGTGATTTTGGCTCTTCAAGCTTGATAAAATGAATGGGGTATGATCCTCTATTTATAGGAAAACAAGTGTGATACTCAAGCGTGTGTCTTGTATCCCAAAAATTGCTCTCTCATTTATCAAATATTTTCTCACAAAGATCTCTCTTGCTTCAAGACTGCACTAGGGTTGATCAGCTCAAGACACCTCCTTAAGCATTGATGACCAAAATTAGGGTTTGAGATTGCACAAGGATAATTGAACTTTCAATGCTTCATATGACTTTCGTGGATCATTATGGACCCCCAAGATTACTCATGTCAAGTTTCAAGCCTTGGATCACACTTTTGCTCAGTCAATTGAGCAATTGACCTAAAAATCAGTTGTAATGGGGAAAAAGTCAACTATGGCCAATTTACAGTCAAACTTCATAATTTTTTACCCAAATCAACATTATAAACTCATATGTATCATTTTATCAAGTTTGGACCACAATTCCTCAAGAAATTTGATCAAATCATCAAAAGGGCAAAATGGTCAAAATTAGGGTTTTGACTGAGAAAGGGAAATTTCTGATTTTTGACCTAGCAAATGGTCAATTGGTTTGAAGCATGGTTTTAAGAGTTCAATTTCATATTTTTTACCTAAAGGCATGACCTAAAACTTTGTTCAAGATCAATTGGATTGATAGTGAATTTTCAGTCAATTGATGAAAAGTCAATTGTACACTGAAAAGTCAAACTTTGACTTTTTGGTCAAAATCCAATGTCAAAGATCACAATTCATCAAGACATGTAAAAATATGAAACTTATTCATCAAGAAATCAAAAAGTCAAGATTTCATTTTGAAAAGTCAAAGTTTTCTAACTTAGAAATTTTTCTAAGTGTTTAAAACTTCATGTTTTTTCACAACTTTGAGTAAATTTTTCACCATGATGCAAGAGGATTCAGAAGAAACTTTCAACATGAAAGTTGTATATCTACATGATATCTACAAAATTTATTTACATAACTTATCTTTAAAATGCTTGGATCTCAAGTTATTAATTCATAAAGTCATGGTCTTGAAATTGAACACTTAGTGAAATTTTGCCCTAGTTTTGGTCAGGATTTTGACCTAACTTCATGGCCCTT